CGCGCCGATCAACTTTAACGACTTCATGTACACAATCTTGCTACCTTCGAAATTGCATCGTTTATCTCAATGCTGTCGAAACTTTCGCATTTGCCGTGAATGAAATCCGTATAAACCGTCAAAAATTCATTTCAGAAATACGTTTGTTGGCACGGAGAGCGACCGTTCTCAAAAAGCGGATGTTGGGACACTGATTCTAGCATATTTCTGTTGCTATCTTCTATAGGGAAAGTTTATCAATTATGGCTTGCTCTACATCAGAGAAGGGTGATCAAGCTGACATTCCAGGGCCTCTAGGATGTAAGTTTCATTTTATTTGTTTGGTTTCATTTTACATTTCTCTTCTCTTTCTCTTTCTCGTATTTCTCTTACAACGTGTCCGTCTTTCTTTTTCGGACTAACTAAAGATTCCATCACTAAAGACCTTCAAATCTGCAAGCTTTCCTCACACGTATGCCATTTTCGCTGTTTTCAAAGTGACAGTTCATATGCACTGCGCGGCCGCATTCACAAGGTGTTTAAATGGTATAATGCCATATCGTCTGAGTCGTCAGTTTTCAGGTCTCGCTTCGTCCAAATCCAACCTAGTGTGCATCCATTTAATTTTCTTTTTGAGCATTATAGTATTTTTGAGTATAATTGAATGCACCTGCCGCACTTTCTTAGCGTTCTCTCTTACTCGGTCTTCCCTCTCCCCCCTCTTGCAACAGCACTCATACATATGTGTTTTTGACTTTCGAACGAAAAGGTTGTCTGTCCTCTAGTCGTGAATTCTATGTCGGCGATTGGAAACTTCTGCTTTCGTACACTCAATTTGAAGACTGTAATGTCTTGGAAATGTATGAAAGTCACTCCTTTATTTTCACCCTTTTCACATATTTCGTCCCACCAAATGAACAATTGCCCACACGTGGTCAGTTGAGTGGTGACAATGTTCCAACTTTGAATTTTGCTTCCAGTCTTTTTATGGAACCGTTTCTCTCGCTGTTGCCAAAGCAGCCTTTTAGCTTCATCCTGCTGCTTCAAAGTGTCCACTAAATGTCACGGAATAACCAACTGTTAAGTGTTTGAGAGGAACGAAGAAAGTGCCGTGACGTAGATGGGTGTCGAATAGACATCTGTGTCTGCTTGATCATACGTTGTCGACGAATCGTTCTCTTCTCCAGAGCAATTTCTTTACTATATGTAAAGTGTGAAGAAGTACCACTGAATCCTACAGAAATCGATAAATTATAATAGCAATGTTCAAAGGGGAGTGACACGAATATAGATACTAAACCGAATTATAGGTAAATATGACGATTCTCTTACGGAGCTACATATTCAGCTAGTAGTACCAGGTATCAAGGAGAAAAGTTTCATGAAAGCTTCAAACACACAAGTTTTTCTCAAAAGCGATACAACGTGAGTGTATTCTTTATTCTTTCTTCTTCCGTTGTATTGTACATAGATTATGAAATTTGAAGGGTATTTATATTGATTTGTTTACAGAAGTCTTAGCTGCAACATAGAGATAATAAAAGTCAATAAACGAACGAAACCTCCGACGAAAACGGTTGTTGATAGGCGGCATTACGAGGTAAGATTGTGATCGCTACAGCAGCATCATATAATTTGATATTCATTCATGTTGGTTTTGAATTTTATTTGAAATTTCTTGCATAGGTCGTTGTATGCGATTCTCCAGGTTTGTTTGTGCGTTTACCTTGGTCTGACTTGTAAACATGCATTTTTCCTAATTACGTCCGCATAGTAGTTCAGAGTTCCATCTTGATTCTCTAGCGGAAAGACTGTCTGTTCTCTATAATGGTAGCATCATCACCTCCCGATTTCTCGAATAATTTAAATGAGCTCGATTATGGTGATAAGTGTCTTAGTTACGACTGATTCATTGTGATGGTCGCGAGCTAAAAAACGAATAGTAGAAATAAACGTAGAGTTGGAGGGTAGCAGTAAGAGACAAAGTAACATATATGAATCGAGAAGGAAATGCACATATATGAATGATATCGAAAAAAATCCAGTTTGAATATTATTAGAAATGTTTATACAGAGACGCTAAGAAATTGTGTAATGAAAACGGAGGAAATGTAGAACATAGCTGTACTTCTAGCACGAATCTTGTTCGACTCCTTGTCAGTGGTGTTTAACCTAAAGAAACGAGTTGAGAGGCATGTGATGGGCAGCAATTCGCTGCAGTGGAAATAACCCGCTTCCCTTGACCCGGTTTTCCACTTTTATAAATAGTCACCTATTTCCATGCATTTGGATATCATGTTGTCCATGCTTCGCCCTTTTGTGTATAATTTATGGATGCTTTTGTAAACCTGAAGAACGGCTTGGGTCCCGAAACGTCGTCAAGTCAACTTTTTAGAGGAGCTGTATTCAATAAAAATACAAAAAAAGAATTGCTGTTTCTATTCCTATAATCTGTGAAAGTAACCATTCATTTTGTGCATTTTGAATTAACCTTTATTGGATGCGCGCAAGCGTCTGCGACATAGAAAGAGTTTTGCTCCACATAATGGTATTTCAGTAATTAAAAGGCTTCTTCTCGAACATGAGCAGCTTACCTTCAGGGGTAACAAGCTTAGGAATGTAATTTCGGACCTTATTGAATTATTGGCCCTCCTATTGCATAGCTGTATCGCGGAAATAAGTTTTGTAAGTCTGAGTGAAATAGGTTGAGAGTGGCAATAAGGTTCTCTCACCTACGCTCAGAAGGGCTCAAAATTTGCTCGCGATGACTCAAGCCAAATAACCCTCCTTCCATCCTATGTTCTTATTGGAGGTGAATTACGTCCTGGAAAGATTCTAAAAGCGCAGAATGCATCTCACTCATAACTTCTTAACTCATAACTCGCCTTTTGCTATTTATTCGTAGAAGTTGGCTGATTGGGTCAGTAAGAGCGTAAACTTTTCAGTTCCAAACGTTTTTACGATTTGAAGGCAGAATGTATCTCATTCTTGTCCGCTGATTTAAGTTTCGAAACTTCTTCATTTATTTCCTTGGTCCCATGATTATCTCTCATTATCAAATTCAATAACATCAGATTATTCCAGGTAGAGAAGTTTCCTGGCGAGATATCCGACGTTTCCTTTCGATTGAAAAAGAACTGCTGTGTTCTGATAGTTCGCAAGAAAACGCCTCAGTCTTGGGCGAATTCGATGAGTCAGTCTGGGTTCTGAAGTACTGTGCTCTTCAAACCTCGCAGTGACGTTTCACACGGTACTGATTTATTATGTATCACTTATTGTGCTATGTATATTGTTTTTTTTTGGAAGCTCCATGATAATGAGATTATGATACTACTCAACGTTTTCTAGCTATCAGTTTCCCATGTTTTGGGGCTTGCTGGTTTTCCTCTGTTGCTTACCATACTGCTATCGACTCTCATGTATAAATGTGTACTTTTTTAAGTAGAGAGTTCACTTGAATCTCCTCGTTTCGACTCTGTTACGCAATAATTTTTGTTAATAAAATTACATTTCAATTAGAAACTTTCAAATATTAAACAGATTTATTTACAGACAACGCAGGTTAATTACATATAGTAGTCGTAGGAAACACCTCAATGAGACCGCCTCATAAGTCGGAAGCGACGGTCCAGAGCGATGGAGCGAGCTCCATCGCTGTCCGTCGCTTGCAATCGCGGTCGACGAATGAGCGCATTGCAAACGCGAATTGCGCAACTGTGCACAAGCGACGGGCGATTGGCCCCGCCCCCAGTCAATGCAGTCGGCTGCGGTATCGATCGAGCAGAGCCATTGCCCGTCGCTTGTGCACTTTGCGCAATCGCTTGCCAATCGCTCGACCAAGAGCGATTGGCAAGCGACGGACAAGCGATGGAGCGATCGCGATCGCTCCATCGCTTGGTCCGTCGCCGACTATGACGTCGGTCTAACAAGGGAAGGATACCAAGTCGAAGTGGCCATCCGTAATGAAACCTATACTCAGAGATGTATTTTCGGACGCTGATCTCAAATCCACTCTCCAAATCTGCGAAACGATTCTCTGAAAAAAGTTACGGTTGTTTCAAATGAATGTTCATTGTAAGAGAGGCCGCCTTCAATGGATGGGCTGGTGGGTGAGCCAGCGGCGTTCCTGGCCGAGTGGTAGTGGTGGCGGCCTCATGCTGGTGAGACTATGGTTCGGTTCTTGGTGAAGTCCAAATTTTTGCTTTTATCAATTATGCCTGTTTTCAGCCCAAAAGAACCTTTAGTGTGGAAATTAACACAATGTACAAAGCAGTCACTTGTTTGAGCCTCACTTCCAAGCATACGCTTCAGCGAGTTGTGTGATGAGTGAGCCAATGCTGTTTGGGCGATTTCAACATTTATGAGGTAATCCTGACGTCATCTCGTGTGGACGTGCAGACATCTCGACACCTGTAGAATAATTGATCGAAAACTTACGTGAAGAAAGCGATTTATGCTTGCAGTGGGCCCCTCAAACAAGTGACTGCTTTGTACATTGTGTTAATTTCCAAACTGAAGGTTCTTTTGGGCTGAAAACAGGCGAGTGAGAGTGGAGAGAGCGAGAGAAGACGTCGAGCGTAACGTCGAAGAACCGACACGCACAGGTCCTTGTCGCAGCATGAAGAGGCGCCACCCCACTACCACTCGGCCAGGACGCCGCTGCAGCTCTCCATTGAAGGCGCCTCTTGTAATGAACATTCATTTGAAACAACCCCCGTAACTTTTTTCAGAGAATCGTTTCGCAGATTTGGAGAGTGGATTTGAGATCAGCGTCCGAAAATACATCTCTGAGTATAGGTTTCATTACGGATGGCCACTTCGACTTGGTATCCTTCCCTTGTAGAGCAAATAGCATGCTTCACTCTGTAACGAAGAATTTGTGCGCAATGGCTTCCGTTCTTTGGGCAGCGTTTGAGTAAAGAGTTACTGACTGCGCTATCGCTGAATTGAAGAAAACCTCTTACAAAAATCAACAGATTGTTCTCGATCTTCGTAACATGAACATATTTAGAAGCAATTTCTGAAATATTAATGTTGTATCAGGCAGTAAGTAGGGCGCTCGCTCGACGAGTGATGAAATGTTATAAATAAGATCTAATTATTTAGGTCAAACATTAAATAGAGCTGGAGTTATCAAGATGTGGCAGCCTTTTCGGCAAGTTCTCTTGCTTCATCGCGTGCCCGACGTTCAGCTATTCGTTGTTCCGTTTGCTTTTCTTCTGAATGAGTAGCGTTCCAGAGGATTACGTGTGGTATTCACGTGATGCCACAAGGATGCTTCACAACACGACAGCCGTCACAAAGACAAGACGAGCCACAGAAGGATTGCACTCACCCTCATATGAAAACAGACAAGGTCATAGGCAATTTAACAGCGACTTGGCCCACTGGATTAACCACAGGCAGTTGAGGAAATTTCAGGCATTAATTTTTTTGCGCGTCTGTCTTGATATAGGCTATAAATAAGAACAGAGAACAACAAGGCCAACTCGATCGTTGCATAGGGAAAATTAAACGCGTGCAGGTACAGGGTGGTTAAAAGATTCTGCCGAAGTGATTAATAGAGTTGTTTTTTCTCACCTACCAGTACTTTTAAAGTACTTTTAGCAGGGCGGAAGTGGTGTAGTGACAAGTGGCGCGCTTACCACGCGAGCGGTCCGGGATCAAATCCTGGGTCGTGAGTCGCCCGGGCCAACCAAGCCTTCCATCCCTCCGGGGTCGGTTAATTGGTACCAGACTTGTCTGGGAGGATAAAAAACACTGACTTGTACATCGGCTGGCCCCCGCAAGTCATTGTATAGGCCACATCGCATTCAAACGCCACTACGAATGTACAAATGGAAGTAGAATGCGTGCCGCATCCCAAAAAGGGATTGATCAACGGCAAATGCTTTATCCTTTCATGCCCTTTTACCAGTACTTTTAAATGATGATATCTTCATGCTTCTATCCTTTTTATCCTTAATTTTTGAG